ATTTCAGGGAGGAAGAAAGAAGACATTCAGTATTTTAGACAACTTAGAGTTGGAAAAGGGCTTAAGCTGGCTGTTAATGTGATAGAAGGGTTAATACAATGTTACGTTTTGGTTCATGTGCAAACAAGGACAACAACTATCTTTTTTGTGTTTGAGGATTCTGGAAATGCTTTGTCTTAGTAAATAACCTTCAGTTTTTTTCAGAGATTCCCTCTATATTTACACATTGTGTGAGTACTGGATGTTTTATGTTGTAACTTAAATATAATGGCAGCACATGAAAGGCACAAAGTGGGGCAAAAGCAGAGATACATGATCCCACTGAAATCAAATCAGTATCAAAACAAGGATATTCTAGACCTACTGCGCAGAACATTGTTCTTAATCAATTAGAGTCAGATGTTTTCATTTAAATATATTTTATTTCTGCACTGGGCAGACATTGATTCATATGATTTAAATTAAAATCACACTGGTTATCAGTCAAAGGCAGTATACTTCCTGCTCCTCCACATCCATCAAGCCCAAACAAGTTTGATCTTGAGTATATGCTCTATCCTGGCAAATAAAGAAATACAGCGCTCCCTGAAGAATCGCAGATTTGAAATCTCCAGGCTGGGCTCTAAATATTTGCCTGTGCTGTATTTGTGTGAGCGTTTCATTAACGATCAGAGCTGACAAACATGCACACTCATTGACCCCAGTCATCAGGGGAGAGCCTGAGACAGTAGTGTGTATTTAGTGTGTATTTGTTGAAAATGTAAATGCCTCACATGAGGAATTGATGTCACCAGCGGAGGAGACGATTGCAATGGAAATGAATCTGGTGTGGTAAACATTTTCCATAGCCAGCGCTCCTGGCTGTTATTTAAGGCCCTGTCAGAACTTGAAAGTGTAATTGATACAAATTCTAAAGTTTAATTTTTAAAGTTTACAGTCACAGAGGGTTCAGAGCTTCAGATTGTTTAAAATTGCACTCACTCCCTTTTCATTATAGCAGGATAGTCTGAAAACATTTGTTCATCAAAGGGTTGCTACAAATTAGACTTTGAGAAACTCAATTTGAAGTAAAGAAAAGCATTTCTTTTCCTCTGGGGGAAGCCAAAGTCTTGGCTGTGTTTGCATTTAAATATAAACTGGGCACAATATCTGGCTTTAAAGATGCATGCAGTCATCATACAGACACAAACATGGAGACACACACTGCACTTGCCATATGCACATACTCGCCCTCAACTACATAATTTGGTAGTTCCCTCTAAACCGGTACAGGCAACAGCATGAAAACCTTGCTATCATATTGCACCCATGCTCTTAGATTGTTGTGTCTACTCCCAGTTGAAATTGGCAATCAGGCCTCTGGAGATGTTGAGGAACAGGAGGGCATGTTGTAAATCTGGGCTTGGTAAGGGGTAAAGAAAGACACAGAGTCAGAGAGAGATGGCCAGAGCAGTGGAATAACATCTTAATCTATCTGAGAAGAGAACAGTGGCCGGTCTGTTTTTGGAGCATGCTGTCTTGGATGACTCCCAAGCAGAGGGGCAGGGAGCGGAGCCATCTTCAGCTGCTAGTCACTAACATGGCAGTAATAAGGCAGTGATGACCCTCCCAGGACTGCCGGCCAGCACTCCCTCTGCCTCCTATCCCTTCAGCACAAATACACACACAAAAACACAGGCTGTGCAATTGAACAGATAATGCAGAACAGCACCAAACTTCTCTCTGTGTGATATATTGTCTTCCCTGCTTGCTTACCAATTTCCATTTATTTTAAATGAAACCTATTAGCACGCTGAAAAGCACAGCAAGACTGTCAGTAGATTAAAACGTGGGCCACATTGTTTTGTGCTGCACTGTATAGACCCCCCAAAAAAAAGAAAAGAAAAAAAAACATTCAAATGTGTGGCATTAATTTATTCACTCAAGTATAGTCATTGAGAGCAACACAAGCATATGACTACTCATCATAATTTATAAGCCTTAATGCAAATGAATAAGTTAAACAGCAGTCAAGGATTACGGAGACTGATGTGAAACTGTTGCACCTGTTGCAATACAAATTTAAGCACTGCCCTATCTGCCTTTACAATGTCCATCACTCACATACAGTGCTTTAAAAACAATATATTTATATGTATCATAAGTGCTTTCTTGCAGCTGCAGTATGTGTCATGTAGTGGACCTAAAAGACTTCATGATTAAAACTACACCTTACGTTTAAACAACATGCTAAGTGGCAGATAAAAGTGCTCATTTCCTTGCAAACACAAATAAGTATAATTAATTCCTATAAACATGTTACTGAAAGTAATTTAGATCCTCATAGTTAATATAAAGGTGGATTTAGATCCATGCCAGTGTTCATTAGAATGTAAAATCCACCACTAATATTACAAAACAATCATATTTTTATTTTAAAAAAACATTTATATTTAGCTTTTATCAGTTCAAAAGCTTACACCCTCATGTTGCTGAAATTTGTTTTATACCACTAAGCGATGATTTATGTTGTAATTTGGTACTGTACGAATAAAACCGAGCTAAATTGAACTATTTGCACAGCATACAGTTAATTTAAGCCACTGAGATCCATGTCAGTCTGTACAATACACCTGGCAAACACTTTTGCGTGGCTGCTTACACATATATGGTGGTGTGCCTGTGAGAGTACAACACTCAGTGCCATGTATTGTTAGAAATTTGCATGCTTAAGTCCATATGGCAACTTCCATTTGACCTGCTTTCCCATCCCCGATGGATTGTCAGGGCTGTCAGCCGATAAAGAATCACTTGACTTGCTATAACAAGTTCAAAAGGAGCTGATGACGCGCTGTTGATCCATGGAGAATCGGTAAAAGAAACACCCCTACTGCTTGCTGCTATCACTCCCATAGAGATAGCCATATTATTGATGGGGAATGGTTATGCTAATTTCTTTAGGGGAGGAAAACTTTTTTTTTATGTTGGAAAATGCACAAAAAAAAAATGAAGAAAAGAAAAAAAAAAAGAATTTCATACACATCAAACTGAATTCCATATAACCATTTAAAGGAACAGCATGGGAATCTGATTTTCATAGTGCATAATGAATGTGGAGTATCTTTTAAAGAGAAGAAATCTGTTTTGTCTGGGAAGGGGAAGAAAGCTGTTATTTAGGATATCTATTAATGTCTGCAGAACACGCGCGCACACGCACGCGCAGGCGCGCACACATGAACTGCCTCACCAACGTGAAAGCATCTTAAAAAAATAATACAAGTATCATAAAAGAAAAAAACTGAGGCAGATAATCTCGAACCTGATAATTACATGTGCAAATATGTAAAACAAAAAAAAATAGGAGATGATTTTTTGTCAGTTTTTGGGTTAAGTAAAGTTTTATAAAGAGGCTCCAGTAAATTCCTGAATGCAATTAAAATAATTCTAATATGCTGTCAGGTGCGGATTACGTTCGGCTACAGATGGAGTGTCATGTGCTCTCTGAGTGACCATTTACATGTATCTGCCTCTCTCTCTCTCTCTCTGACACATACAGCATGGCACAGGCAGCATGGAGAGGGGAGAGGATCATGAGAGCGGGTGTGTGTGTGAGTGTGTGTGGGTTACGGGGTGGGGGTGGGTGGGTAGTGGTGGTGGTGGTGGTGGGGAGGTGTAAGGGGGGGGACTGGGTTACGCACAGGGGCTGTTATGAATATGACCCCGAGATATTCCATTGTGGGCCCATGTCCGGTTCTGCGGACATTTGATAGCATCTCAGTCAGTGGCATTAATGTGTCTCTCGGTTCGACATTTTGAATAATCGAGGCTGTCTGCCGTCATCCCGCCACTAGCTGTCAGCAGCACCGTCTGTCTGTCTGTTTTATCACACTCCTCTACTCATGCACTTACATTATAGGAAACAAGCTGTCCGTGCGAGAGAGCACTTGATACTTTTTTATTATAACCAAACCGTTCCCATAATAACCCCATAATCATTATATAATCCTTTAACAAAGCCTCCATTGAAGCCCTGTCTTTTGTCAACGCTGGGACACTGAATCTATAATTGCATTATTCAGTCTCTTCCACCCCCCTATAGAAGCATAATATATCAAAACCATCGTGCAAAAGGAAGGTTTTAGTTGCAAGAAAGTGTTCAGCCTATGCGGGACGTCTTTCTGTCTCTTTTTTACGCATCACCAAAAAGTTGTGCCAACAAACTCCAAGTTCAGAGCTCCTCTTGGAAATAACCCCCCCAAAAAGAAAAGTTTCTTTTTTACAGAAAGATTTTTTTCCTCCCAAAACCTGTGTAGAAATTCATTCATTCGCAGATTGGACGAGTCGCATTATTGATATATCATATTTTCTAATAATTATGTTAATACCCTTTTTGCGCTTTCAGGCAGTAAGAATAAATCGTTAAAACATTTAGGAGAAGGGGGAGAAAAAAAAAGGCAAAAGCGAGTCCCCGAGGAGCGGTTTTGCGTTTGTATGCATGGGGATTGGCAGCACAACGAGGCTTATTTACATTAAATACGCCACAAGGTTACAGTGCAGATAGATGAGCGTCATTTTTATCACTCATTACTTCTCTTAAGCGGTGACTGACGCTCAGGACGCAGAGGAGGAAACACTCATTTATCCTGGAGTTTCTAAGGCGAGGAGAAGAGGGGAAAAGAAAACAGTTTTCTGGAAAGGTAAGAAATTCTACTTTTTTGGAGTATTTTCGGTGATCTGGGTGTCTTTAAACGGAGGGCTGTTATCCCAGCCAATTTTGAACGCTCGGTGCCTAAGCCGGCTGCGTCTCAATGGCTATGTACAGAGGGCAGATTTAGAAATAAAAGAGTGTTTATGGGCAGTTCAAGGTCAGAAACAAACTAAGGTGCTTGTGAATCGTCTTTTTCTTTCTTGCCACGGTACCTGAGGAAACGGTAACGACGGGGGGATTATTTCTTTAAACGGGGGTTCTGATCACCGCTGGGCTCATCAGCTGCTTTTTATCCCCCGTCAACGGCGAATACCGCAAGACCAGTCGGCTCTGCTTTCTACAATGGAGTGCCTTTTTAACGGTACAATGCGTTTCACCTACCAGATAGAGGGAGTCCAAGCTGAAAGATGAAGGGGATATGCTGATGCCTGGCCATCGGCATCAATTCAAACGTTTACTGTTCGCAGGCAGGGGGACAGAAAGAGAGAGACAAGTAATAAAGCCGCATTTTTCATTTCAAACTCATGATGCGCGGCAGGGAGCAGTTGTAGAGAGAGGGTCGAGGAGTGGACAATCTTTAACAGGTCCTAAGCGCACTTTTCAACACCCCCGTCCTCCGACAAGAATATGATCCGGTCAAATCATATGGACATGCCTCATTATTCAATGAACACTGTTTCTCACAACGCATCGTTTACGCGCAGGAGTTAGCCGGCGCTTCGCCAAATTTAAAAGGTAAGAAGTATGGAGCTTATAGGCTAGTACGCAAGTGGGGTCTTTACCGGGGGCTTGGAGTGTATTACTCGCTGGGAAGTCAGTTTTGGGAAAGGATTGGGGTTGTTTGTGTGGGAGCATCGCAGCGGGGGTCCCTGATGTCTCCCCAATCATGATTAGAAAATAACAGTGTAATTATCCGTAGCGAGTAACGATCGTAAAAAAAAAAAAGAAAAAGAAAAAAAAAACGACGACAAAATAGCAGCTGGGACCAAGACATGGGCTGCCGTGCTCGACACCTTGCAACTCAGCGCGTAATAAACTATTTTTTTTATTCCGGGAGAAAAAAAACCAACATTTTAATATGTTTTGTTTGTCGCTGCATGTTTTGCTCTAACAACACTGCGTGTGCGTAAAAGGCGTTCGGGCGCACGGCTTTTTTTTTTTTTTTTGCAATATTGCACACACAGACCAGCGAGACAGCCTTGAGACTTTTACAGAAGTCCAGCCGTGTTCCCGTTTGGAGTGTGCACTGCAAACTTTTTTACCGATAACCGCACTTGAGCTGAAAGAATGCGTGAGGGCGATTAAAGTTTACCGGTGCGTTTGCCACCACGTGTGAAAACTTGTGAGATGGAAGAAGAGCCGGTGAGACCTGCCATTTTGTGCAGTGATCGACCTCTCTTATGAATAAGCAGCCTCTGCATTATGCTTTGAGGAGACGTTTTGATGGCATTCAGATGAAGGGGGGTAAATGTCATATGTGGAGACTAACGGGCGTATTAGCGGCGGTGAAATTGACATTTTTGGGAACCGCTGTCACTTTCTGCTGCGAATGGGGTAAGGGGGTTAGGAGATTTGGGGTTTTTTTAAGAGAAAGAGGGGGAAAGTTAGAGCGAGTCGTAAAAAAGGCTACATGAGAGAGAGCGATAGGCATCCGTTACTGTGTAAATATAAAATGACAGAGCCCATAAGCTCGCATTTTTCCTTGGGATGGAAGAGGTCGGGTGTAGGGCGCTGAGCTTTCAGTAGTTTCTGTGATATATCCTACAAAGAATCAGAGTGATTTTATTTTTATGAGGGTATTTATTTTTAGGATATCCTATTTATCCAGCAGCATTACCGTGCGTGAAAAAGATCTCCAAGCGCTTTGCTGGGTTCCCACATCGACACTCACATGTCCGAATATTTGCTTTTGTGAATGTTTAGTATTGAATTAATACATTAAAATATAGATTCAATTATAAGTGGCACCAGGGATGATCGAGGGGGTTGTAATCCCATTTAAAGCCTCTGTCTCACCGTGCTTCTTGGGTGGGGAGGACCTTTTTTCTTGGAAGTGGAGTTGACCCCTGAGTGATCTGACCTGGGATATCCACCCACTTCCAACAGCCACCAGCGCTGCATAATGACTGTGAGGACACATGGCATCTTTCTTAAAATACTCAACAATGTCTATCACATTGTTTCCCACTGTTTCTCTAACCTTTCCTAAAGTTGTCTCGAGCCAGAAAAAAAAAAAAAAAGTTGCTTCTTCCTCAGATTCATTGTGCAAGTAAAACGAATAAATAGAGGTACTGTGCGAGTTGAGATGCTGTCATTGTGTAATGGTATGCACAGGGCGGATATTATGTCTGAAATAGTGTCTGGGCGTAAACCCCTTTTGTCAGCTCCTTTCAATCCTGTATTGGAGAAGAAATATCAAATGGATAACTGTCCCCCGCTCCTCTGACAGTACAGGCTGCCTCACAGACCTGTTTGCCCTTTCCTGCTCCTCTCTGCGCTGCTACAAGTTGAAATGTTGTCATTCTTTTCGGGTGAAATATTTGGGAAGAGACACTGTGTTTAAGGAAAGGACTTGCTTTGCAGACTGGCCTGTTACAGGAATTTATGTAGTGAATTTGATGTCAAGGCCTGAGTGGTTTGTTTGAGCAATTTATTTAATATTCACTGAAACTACCTCAATTTTTTGTAATTAATATACCCGTCAATTTATGCTGCATACTATATTGCATACTGCATACTACTTACTAATTAATTATCCAATTAATTGTGTGTTGTTGTCGTTAAAATAATTCTTATAAAATATGCAAATGTTATTTATCTTCACTTCGTGGCAAATGAAATAGATAAATTCTTGTCTGTGGCTGAGATATTTTGGAGACACTGTGAGATTTATGACAGCAAAATACCACACACAAAACAGTACAAGAAATTTGACATTTTCCTGTGCTGCAACTTTCTGACCGACGGAGCTCACAATCTGTTCTTTGGAGTCAGTCTGTAGCGCTCGCCGTTGATCTTGTATTAGTTGCTTTCCCACCTGTGCCCATGTCAGCATTGCTAAGGGGGCCATGGGCCGTGACTGACTGCGCCGATACACATCTCTAAGCTGCAAACGAGGGAGAAGGGAGTGATGAGAGAGACGGGGGGAGAGAGACGGAGAGAGAACATGGCATGCAAAGGATGGTATCAAATCAGTCCTCTTTTCACCAGGCTGTCAGTCAGTCAGTCAGTCCCTCAGTTCACCGTGGAGTAGACCCACTCGACTGAAGCCGCTGTGTTGTCAGTCCGACACATGGTGAATTATTTGCACGCTGACATGTACACATTCAGATTTTTGAGAAGGAAAAGGGAAAAAACAATTTTGAAAAATCACACTCTGGTTTTAACAAATGCACATAAAGGAGGCAGCGCATGAGCAGACACCCCAGTGCCATCGCACAAACACGCAAACCCGCAGTGAAGTGGTCGCACAAATTACATAATCTAGCAATACGGAAAATATGTGTGTATAATCAATTGGACAACACATAATTCAAGTTATCCTGTATCCTGTGATATATGCATCTGCAACACAGTGTAGTCCACTGTCAGACAGGCAGCCTCGCTGTGGCTACTTGATCCCATTCTCGTGTAATTATGGGGAGAGGGCTCCAGCTGTACAGGCTGCAAGGCCAGGGTTCCCAGTCCGCTGGGATCAGGGCGGTGGTGGGCAGGCAAGATCAGGCCAGCTCTGCTCATCAGCCAGCCATTAATTGATATGTGCAGTCATTGTGAAAGCAACCCCCACCCCCCTCCTCTCTGTTACCTACTGGGTGAAGGCTGTGGATACTGACTGTGTTATTTCCATTTCCATTCTGGTTCCGTCTTATTCACTCTCCCAACAGGGCAAGATGGCACTGTACATGTATTCCTCTATGTCTGTGTATATGTGTGTGTGTGTGTTTGTATGTGTGTGTGTGCGTGTCCCATGGGGTGGAAAGGAGGGTGCTGTAGGTCCTGTAACACACAGGCGTTAGGCTGGGTTGAGCCTTGTAGCTCCATGACCTTGATCCCCAGAGTTCAAACCAGAGAAGGGAAGATGTTGGCGAGCTGGGCTTGCAGTTGCCACGTGAGGCTAATATGACAAGCGTGCACACACACGCACACAATCAAATATGAATCAAATTTGGGGATGTGAAGTCAAGAAGAGATTGCTCTGACCAGAAACATCACACGCTAGATTACACACATTAGACAGAAATCTCAAACAATACGATTTTCATCACATTTGTTTGAATTTCTGTCAGGGAAAACGTTAAATGATTTTTTTTTTTCTTCTCCCCTCTACCAGCCCACATGGTTGCGACGGCGAACTTTTATAAGGAACAGGAATTATGATTTATTCCACTGTAGTGATAAATCGAAGGGGACACGAGTGAAGTTTAAAGACGTTTGTGCCTCTGACCTTTGCTTATGATTAGGCCTTTTAAGGAATTCATTTTGCGGGAATCAATTTGGAATGAATGGATTTTTTTGAACGCATGGTGAGTGTTGATGTCTCAGAGCCTGTCACGTTCAAGTTATTTCCTAATCAACAGTAAATTTAACATTTTTTAAAAATTAGGATCAAAATAAAAAATGACTTTAAAAGAATCTCAAGGAAAGTGTTTTACCTCTAACTCAGTTACTGAATATTGAAAGCAATTTGTTATATGAAAGATGCCATTAGCTCGAAATAAATGTGCTATCAATTTGAATCTAGCTGTGTAAATGATCAGTCTTATTGAATCATTTTTTGAATGAGAGTTAATGTACAGTTTTGCTGTTGTGTACATGTGTGGCGTACTGCGCTAGGTAAAAATCCCGTGTGAGTGTATATTTCTCCTGGTATGTTCTTTGCCCTGAGAGCTTGATAAGGATTGGGGGGGGGTTGAGCACTGGAGGAGCAGTGGGGTGGACGGGTTGGGGTGGTAAGGAGGGAGGGGGAGGGGAGGGGGGTAATCATGGACGTCAGTTTGATCTAAGAATAAAGAGTGTGGGGCAGATGAGGCGCTGACAGATAGGCTTGACTCAGTCCTCTCATGCCGGGGTGCCATCACAAGGAGCGTCTGCCTGTCTGGGCAGCCGAGGGAGTTGGGGTGGTGGGGGTGAGGGCTGGTGAGGTCTGGATGGTAAGAGAGGGGAAAGAAGAAGTGGTCTCAGAGAGGGAGAACTGGGCATGGAGGTGGGTGCAAGAAGGATCTTTGTTTTTTCAAAATCGCTTTTTTTTTTTTCTTCCATCGCAATCTCCTTATCAGAAGAGTCCCAAGCTTTGTTAAATAAGCCTGAGAATGTGCATGCATGCAGGTCAGCGCACGTGGGAGTTCGCATTTGCAACAGTGTGTATATGTTCACAAGTACAGAGGGGGTGCTCTGGCCTTGCCCTTTCTCTCTCCCGCTGCAATCAGTGGGCACTCATATCAAAAACAAGGAATGTGTCCTGAAAAAAATGGAAAACACCTTATCCTCGCAACCCGTGATATTCCTCCTTTGTTTGCCCCGGCTTCCCCGCTGAGCCTCCTTGGCATTAAGGCATTATTGAGTTTGGCTTTAGTTTGGTATTTTCTTTCTTTTATTTTTTTTTTTTCTTCAAAGTTCGTTAGCATTTTGGATTTAAGGATGGGTCATGCAATGTCAGGGCTGTTTTCCCTTTTGATGTGTCGAACGGCACTGTGTTTTCAGCCGTGTCATTTCCACAGACAACAGCTTAACACAAA